TGAATTTTTTCCTGTAGGACCGGACCTACATTGAGGTAGGGGGTCTATTTCTATATATATTTGGAGTATGTCTGTCATATAGCTAGCCCTGGACACACACAGGATCCATCTACAGGAACAAAAACATAAAATATTGTATGTTTGGCATTTTTGATGTTTTTTAGTATATTACACTTGCACACATGGTCCACCCTGCTCATTTATAATCAGTAGTACATGCATACATGTGTTCTACACTAAATACCAGCTAGATATATGGCAAAAACATGAGATCTGATGTAGAGGGGGTATTTCTACTGATCAGAAGCCTACATGGTAATCAAGCCTGTGATAAGTAATCAGAGACCTGTGATACCCCCAATATATATCCCTTATGATGTCCATAAAGGCTTAGAAAGATCCATGAAGGATTGATGTAATGACAGGCAAAATGACATATGTGTGAAAAGTGACAATTGATATCTTTTTGCACAAAGTGTCATTTATATATGATAAATGTCAAAGATTTCATTTAAAATATGTAGGATAGATTGTAAACTACCTAAGGAACCTATACTACCTACTGCCCTGAGGGTAAAGGGTGGAGGGAAGGGATGTAGTGTAAACATGAGTTGACCCAGCATTAAAGTCTGACTACTGCTCAACTGACCATTTTCGATGTTTTGGGTTTGTGAAGTTTCCCACACTTAATTTCTTATCTATTTCACTTCCTCAGCACTCAATCATTGTTGGATTGTTCTATACATTTATATATATGATGCTGTATATATTCCAAATGTACTCCCGGTTTCTGATCATTAATATTTGATGTTTTGAAGGCATGGGCCCCTTATCAGTAGAAATAGCAAGCATATACACTAGCTCACAGCTCCAGCCTATTGTGAGCCGATCTTGGTCATAAAAAAGCAAGTATATATGCTATGCTCATTATATATGAACAGGTTGTATCATAGATGCAATGGTAAGATACTGAAACACATCAAAAATGTCAAAATGCGATTTTCTATGTTTTTGTTCCTGTAGCAGGATCCTATGTGTGTCCTGGGCCAGCTATATGATAGACCTACCTCAAATATACATAGAAATAGACCCCCCACCTCAATTGAGGTCCGGTCCTTCAGGAAAAAAATTCACAGGGGGTAAACCACCAGGAGAAGGGGGGCACACCATGCAACAGGGGATTATCCTATGGTCCTAGGCTCCTGATACATTGTTCATATTACTGAATAGGTGCTGGGAATCATTTTTCCAAGTCCATCCATCTACAAATAATTAAATGGGAACATATTTTGTGTTTTTCTGTATATGTGTTATATTTATTGATGTAGGACACTTCAGAGGGTCAAATAAAGTTGGGAATATCTTCATATTCACTCATAATCATGTTCTGAATACCCTAGGACACTTCCTTGTCAAAGGGGCAAAAGTGCGAAAATGTTTTATATCCTACATCATTTTGAAAGGGTCCTGGAGGAGGAGCAGGTACACAAATAGACAAAAAAAGCGGTCTATTATATTATATTATACATATATAAACCAAACTACTACTTATATATGAAAGGGGAGCAATTGTGGTGTGGTGGTGAAGCTGCAGTGATATGGGGAGGGTGTGGGAACAATTGATATTGTGGAGATTCCCAAAATGGGCGATGTTTTTGGTGTTGTGGGGGCGAACATGTGATGTGTGGGAATAATGTGGGAAGACCTGACATGAGGAGGTGACCAAAATGGGATATGTTTTGTGAATAATAAATATATCCTGGAATGACAAACAGCTGAGTTTCAAAAATGCGAAAAATGCGGCTGTGTATGCAACAGATGGGATCCACCATGGGATACATCCAATGGATAATGGATAATCTTACTGGATGATGTATCCTAGTTTTAGGCTTATAGTCCAGTTTGGATGTATCAATATAGCATTATGGACTCTCCGGCCCACTCATCTATCACACACTGGATTCACTACTACTATTCATAATTTCCTATATAGTACATTGCTCTACTACCATCTATACTATATACACCCGGCCCATCCGTTTGCCTTGGACACTCCACCCCCTCGGCCCACTCGTCTAACACGGTACAATTATTGCCATGGGCCTGCACCAGGTGACCCGTCTCTATTGGTACATTGTCACGCCTGGCTGCCCGTCTGAGACGGGTGAATTCACTGAAGGGGCTCACCAATCTCCGCCCGCTGAAGGTTCTTGTTCCCTGATTCGCCTACAAACACCTGGTTTCTCACTCCAGACGAGCGGGCCAAAGCCGTACAGCGCATCGATGTGCGTCTGTCAAGCGAACTGATATCACCCCTTGCTTACGATTAGCGCAGGAAAATCAAACAGGTGTTGAGAACAAACACTTCAAGACGGAGCAGTACACATTAGATGCAATTGTGTTTTTTGATCCTTCTTCACGTGCACATCTCTACTATCTAGGATGATCGAAGTCCTGACTGACCCCAAGACATGGCTCTTCGCCCTCTTCTCGGCTCTAGCAAATGTGCCCAACTGATTTGTAAACCAGCTATCACTGATCCTCGCGTCATTCGGATTCACCAATCTACAGACGACTCTCTTGTCCTGTGTTCCTGGTGTGATTGCAATATTGACAATCTTGACTGCTGTTAGGCTTGCTATACGACGGCCGAATTCCAGAGCATATGTTGGTGCTATGGCCTTCATCCCAGCGTTGTTGGGAATCCTGCTAGTCAACCTACTTCCTTGGTCGGATCGCGTATGTGACTTGCTTCTGCGAGTCTACCGAGTTGTATTTAATACAAATCACACGATATTAGGTTGGACTTCTTGTCGGCCTGTTCCTGGGTGCGTGTGATCGCTGTGATGCCCCTAGTGTATGTGCATGCTCATCGCTCCATAGTCAGTGCAGCTGCGCCTGCATTTGTACTGTCATTGTTGTGGCTTAATACCGTGACTGCTGGCCATACGAAGAGGGTAGGTACTCCGCCAATTATTGAAGTTGCCCCCTAAATGAACCTGCAGGTTGTTACTAGCGCCATCATGCTCTCGTCTTACTGCATTGGCAACGCAGCTGGCCCCTTCATGTGGAAGTCACAATATAAGCCGCGGTATGTCATTCTTCGACCGACCCTAGGAAGGTTCAAAGCACTCATGATTCATGTGCAGTTACCACGTGCCATGGGCTGTCATCGGCGCATGCTACATCATCTGTCCGATACTTCTCCTTGTCATCCGTGTTTTTCTCGCACGAGAGAACCGAATCCGTGACACAGAGCCTCTTGATGATAGTGAAGAAGAATACGTCATCGAGCGAATCACAGAGGATGGGAAGCATGTAGAAGTCAAGGTCGAGAAGGTGCGTTCTCCGAATGATTGCTTTTCGTGTACAGTATTAATATTCTGCCTGCATCAGGGGTTCCTGGATTTGACAGATAGGCAGAACAGGGACTTCAGATATGTTTTGTAACATTAAGCACGCCCGACTCTTACTGCTATTCGTACTGCCAAATGGCAATTCGTGTTCATTGATTCGCACACAACCTAGTTGGTATCATGAGAGTGCATTGTTTATGTATTGATGTGGTATTATATTACACAGGAGACTCCTCACTTCTACGAATCGTATTCACTTGTGGCGTAGTCCGAGTCAAGGTTGATTTCAGGCGGTTCTCTCTAAAGCGAACGTGCTCGAGTTCCAACACAAACATAATAATACAACATGCCTGAAATGTAATGCAGAGCTTAGGGCTGCATACCGCACGAAAAATCTAGTGTTCATCTTGGTGTAATATAGGCGGGGGAGCGTCGCTGCTGATGACAATCTCGATTTTCCAAGCATATTTCAATGGTTGCAACCACATCGTTGTATCCCACAGCCAGTGGTGTTATCATCCGACCCAGACTCAATGTCAATGAGAAAGATACTGAGGGAACCCAACCAGTAAAGAGGTAAGAGTGGATGTCAATTCTACAGAACTTCCAAATCCTTACCTGCAGGTATGAGATAGCTACGTCCCGGGACCCGAACATCTTCGTCCGGGAAAATATTGTCGCATACGCCCATCCAACACGTAGCTGCACCATTCAGTCGTACCTTTCGTTTGCCGATTTGTTCAGGCGCGAACTATCTGCACGGTCAACGGCTTGATAGGACATAGGTCTCAGGGCGAGATCAGATATACTTCGCATGCACAGGACAGTAACTTATGTATATCCACGAGCAGTGCCTGCCAAAGACTTGCACGTAATTCTAGCTGATGATCATTTTTATCAGTAACTCACAGTTGTCCTCTGGACTTGGTAAGCACGCAGCCCGGCGATGAGCAGTGAGGAGGCGCCGATAGCAGTCTTTCACAAATTACCGCCTGGTGTCATAGGATTTGGGGCACCTTTACCCCACGCGCCCACCGCTTGATTTGCGACATAGGCGCTTAATCCCCACGAGGGTCTACCACTGCAGGTACATACTGGTTTATGACATTAGGGACGGTACAAGTGGGACGCAAGAACGCACCCACCCGGCACAGGAGTAGCCAACACCTGAGGGGGAAGTACGTTTACAGCACACGGAGGGGGTGCGTAATGGGCGATTGATCTGGTTTGTATGGCACCAGAATGGGTTTAGTGGTGCGGAAAAGTGACAACTAGAAGAAGAAACAAGATTGTCCACGCATCGATAGCAGACGATGCGACGAAAGAAAGTGTTTGAATGGTTCAGGGATGAGAACTTATTTGGTGACCACGTCATGGACCAGGCGTCTTCAATAGAGATGCGCATATAGCCTGTAGAGCGATTTTAGCCACACTGCCCGTCCTCAAACATGCGAGTAAAAGTGCTCAACGCTATGATCACACCACGAACACCCATCAGCTCACCAAACGACGCATCGCATGAATGTGGCAAAGTTGAAGATTGAACCATAAAACACTTAGCTCGTTATTGGTGCTGTAAGTACAGACGATCTTCGATGTTTCCTTGACTTCCTTGTCTTGTACAAGAGGCTTTTAAGAAAACTCGCAGGCATCCTACCAGACATTCGCCCTCGCCATCCAAGTATGTGAGCAGCACGTCTGGTGTAATGCAATGCAGTCAGGATCACTGAGGACTGCTCATCAACAAAGATGATAACTGCGAGTTTGTCATTACGGATCAGCTGAAATGGCGATGGCATTGCTGAAAAAGATGCCGGGGTGACAAACGATCTTTAGATATGTGAATACGCAGCCAAAAGCGTAGGGTCAGATGCCTTTGCGGGCGGCAGGCGTTCACAACTGCAGCCGCAAACAAGCAAGATGCCAGTCGTAGTTGGGTTTCTTCGACATGAGTGCGCTGCTTTGAGTGACGGACTCGTGTCTCTGGCGCACTCTCATTGAGTAGTGAAAAGGACGTTATGGCTGAGAAACTCACCTTTGGGTCGACCTTTCGACAAGCATTACAACTGTCTATATCATTCTCCGTGTGAACAATACCCTACGGTGACATGATGTGAGGTCGAATGGGAAATCATAAATGAAATCTATAGGGAGAAGTTCCAAGCGTGAGTTGAAGCGTTGGTCGGGTCTCCACCAGACGTGTATTTCGTCGAACAACGTCAGCTGCGAGTGGGTCGAAGACTTCCTTGTAGCTTTCTGACAGACACTTGTAGAGAAAATAGGGCAAAAGTAGAGATAAAGAGTTGACATTGAACGAGCTTGGGGAGGCACAGTTGAAATGCAGTGATGTTCTGCGTACTAGTCAGAAAGAATAAAAGCCGATAGCCCCCACTGGCAGATAATGAACGCGTGATCAGAATGTTAGCGCGACGCATTTCAATTTTTCAGAGTACCGGGCCACTATACGTCTTAATACTAGGGGCTTGGAGCTTGGTGCAATTGATATGTCGATGATCAAGCAGTAGTGGGAAGAAAAGTGAAAAACAAGCACCCAAATAGGAGTACATCCCTAAACAGCAGTTTGGGACGTATCATATCATTCATTAGGAAGAACTCGAGTTCAATAAGAGCTCGATAATGAGTTCAAAGGTGGCGATCCACTGCTCTCTTGTCAGACGCTACGATATATGTGCATATAAATCAGTAGTAGCATCAACCAGTCAACTATGAAGTAAGTAAGTCAACACGGAACACAAACTGCATGCTGGGCATAGAATAGGTAACGAATCATACAGTACACTCGATATCGTATTGTATCTAACACATCGCAAATGAATTCCGTGAATGAGATCATCGTTAAGAAAGTCTACAAGAGTCGATGTTAGCAGCGGCAAGCGACAGACAAGGCCATGAACTCACTCAGCTCGGCAATTCTGCCAGTGTCGTCCATGTGCCATGCAACTCAAATCAAGCTCTACACTTGGTCTGGGTATCGTGAATACAGTCCAAGGGGTATAGAACAGGTGTCGGGAAGCAGGTGGTACCCAAAAAAGGAGGCGACCTTTGGGTCCCATCATCCATCCGTCAGCTTCCAGCGAAAAGGAGGTCGACCTTCTGTCATCAAGGGAAGTGCCTACAGCGAGCTCGGCAACATCGGACAGTGCATGATTTGAGCTGGATGAGCAACAAATGAAGTTGTTGTTCCAAGGATGTGTTGAGACCACAGTGCTGTCCTCCGTGGGAAGCGTGATTTGACATGTATCCAGGGATGTGTTCTCCACACAATCTTGCAGTGGCTGCCCAACTGCAGTATACCAGGCCCGGACAGTCTGATCCTGAGAATGAGATACAATGCAAGTGCCATCCGGTGAAAATGAGACTGATTCAACCTGATCAGTGTGCCCTCGCAAGGGCTCACCAACTGGCTGCCCCGTCACTGCATCCCATAGCCGGACAGTTTGATCCAAAGCAGTTGCGATGCGAAGTCCATCCGGCGAGAACGAGACTGAATGCCCTTGCAAGGGCTCGCCAACTGGCTGCCCCGTCGCTGCATCCCACAGCCGGACAGTGCGATCAAAAGAAACAGTTGCGATGCGAATTCCATCCGGCGAGAACAAGACTGAATACCCTGGCAAGGGCTCACTAACTGGCTGCCCTGTCACTGCATCCCACAGCTGGACAGTGTCATAAGAAGCAGTTGCGATGCGAATTCCATCCGGCGAGAACGAGACTGATTGCCCTTCCAAGAGCTCACCAACTGGCTGCCCTGTCGCTGCATCCCACAGCTGGACACCTTCCTCCAAAAAAGTAGTTGCGATGCGAATTCCATCCGGCGAGAACGAGACTGAAGTAATGTGATCAATGTGCACTCGCGAGGGCTCACCAACTAGCTGCCCCGTCGCTGCATCCCACAGCTGGACAGTTTGACCCCAAGCAATTGCGATGCGAATTCCATCCGGCGAGAACGAGACTGAATCCCCTCGCAAGGGCTCACCAACTGGCTGCCCCGTCGCTGCATCCCACAGCCGGACAGTTCGATCCAAAGAAGTAGTTGCGATGCGAATTCCATTTGGCGAGAACGAGACTGAATGAACCCCGTGAGTGTGCCCTTGCAAGGGCTCACCAACTGGCTGCCCCGTCGCTGTATCCCACAGCCGGACAGTTCGATCCAAAGAAACAGTTGCGATGCGAGTTCTATCCAGCGAGAAATAGACTGACTCGACCAAATGAGTGTGGCCCTGTAGGGGCTCAGCAACCAGCTGCCCCATCATTGCATCCCACAGCCGGGCAGTGTGATCATCAGAACCAGACACAATGCGAGTTCCATCCGGCGAGAATGAGGTTGACTGAATCTGATGAGTGTGGCCCAGTAAGGGCTTACCGATTGGCTGCCTTGTCGCTGCATCCCATAGCCGGACAGTCTTGTCGATCAAACCAGCCACGATGCGCATCCCATCCGACGAGAACGAAACTGAGAGAAAACTAGTGCGCCCTCGCAAGGGCTCACCAACTGGTTGCCCTGTCGCTGCAACCCACAGCCGGATAGTGCCATCGCGTGAAGCAGACACAATGCGAGTGCCATTCGGTGAAAACGAGACCGATTCAACCACATTGTAGTGGCCCACCAAGGGTTTACCGACTGGCTGCCCCGTCGCTGCATCCCACAACCGGATAGTGTGATCATGCGAACCAGACGCGATGCTAGTTCCATCCGGCGAGAACGAAACTGACAGAACCGAAGAAGTGTGGCCCTGAAAGGGCATTCCGACCGCTTGCCCCGTCGCTGTATCCCACAGCCGGACAGTCTTATCGGCTGAACCAGTCACGATGCAACCCCCATCCGGCGAGAACGAGACTGAGTGAACTGAACCAGTGTGTCCCTCCAAGGGCATTCCAACTGGTTGCCCCGTCGCTGTATCCCACAGCCGGACAGTGCGATCATAAGAAGCAGACACAATGCGAGTGCCATCCGGTGAAAACGAGACTGATTCAACACCACCAGTGTGGCCCACCAAGGGTTCACCGACTGGTTGCCCCGTCGCTGTATCCCACAGCCGGACAGTCTTGTCCCTCGAACCAGTCACGATGCGAGTTCCGTCTGGCGAGAACGAGACCGACATAACACCACCAGTGTGGCCCCTGAGCACGCTCTGAGCAGCCGCCCAGTGCAAATCACGTCCATGTGCCACATGAAGAGTCTTCGGAAACCCTGCAGTGAATTGTGTGGATATCGCGGAGTTGACCGGAGAGAATGGTAGAGCTG